TCTGAACTTTAGAAATAAAACGCCTTCTGAAGAAAGACGTTCAAATTTATACAGAATGAAATGGATTTTTATGGTTACGTCTCATTTACCTGAAGCCACTGGGGATTAATAAACAGGTAATTCAGTTTCCGTTCAGTTCATTTAAACACGACTTTAAAATTAAAGTCATCTGAGTCGCCAAAACAATTAAAATATTTTCAATTTGTTTCATATTTATTTTGGATTCACATCATTCTAATCCAATAAAGCTTCAAATGTAAGTAATAAATATCATAAAACAAGATAATGTTGGGTTAATTCTTTTTAAAATGAACGGGCAGCTCTACAAAAATGTAAAAGTATAATAGTTAATATTTTTTCTCTTGCATAAATATGATAAAACATGAAGTGAAGCTTAAAGCTGCAATCAGACACATAGTTAATGCCTGTTACTTTTGTTTGTGTTTTTGATTTAAAACACTTTCAAATGTCATGTTGATGAAATATGTATTACAGATAAACTTTATTGATTTATTGGTGGATTGATAAGAGGCGGCTCTTTAAATCGTGTCAGGATTTCCTCACCTCTTACTGCCAGCCAGGTTTCTGCTGACTCTCCGACTCCAGAGGCGTTACGTTTGTAGAATCCTTCATCGGATTTAGAGGCGCTCCGGATGGTGAACCGTCCCGTGGAGCTGCTCCCGACCAGAACCCCGTCTCTATAAAAACGGGTCAGACTGGAGGATAACGGTGGCCTGAACCTGCAGTGAAGCGTCAGGGCTGCTCCTTCACTGACTGGACGTTCAGGTCGTTCCAGGATCAGTGATCGATCTGAGAAACACAATGTTGAATATTTAACAACCAGATTCAAGAACAAACCTTTTATGAACATTTTTTACTCATGTCTCATATGAACCTGTTTGAGCTGATTCTATCAGATTTAATCTCAATAAACAGCAGAAAACACGACTTGGTTTTAGACATTTCTTTGATTCTCTCCTGAAACTCATCAGGATCAAAACTCCTCTGTAACATCAATCAATAATCAATCAATAAATACTTTCTTTTAAATTAAATACTTAAATACATCAATCAATAAATACTTTCTTTTAAATTAAATACTTGCAAATAAAAGCTGAGTTATATTTTCCCATTACATTAAACATGAGGGAGAACAGGTTAATCTGTTAATCTGTCTATTATAGATTTAATATTCTGTAGTATGACAGAAGATCAGGGCTAAGAAAATTACAATAAAATTACCAGAATAAAGTACAGATTTATTCTGTACTTTATTTCACTTTATTCTCATTATTAGGATTTATTCTTGTATTATTTAAATTTGTTCTCATAATATTGTAATTTATTCTAATATGGCTTCATTCTGGTAATATTCAGACTTTATGTTTCCTAATTATAAACTTTATTCTCATATTTGTATTTTTTTTCTCAGTATGGCCCTAATACTCCATCAGACTGCAGGCCTGTTTTTCCTCATGCAACATTTTTAGATATTTGTTGCCTTCAGTTTTGCTCTGATTTATGAGGAAACACAGAACATCAAGCTGAGAAAATCAAACTCTGATGTTTGATTTTAATATAAATGTTTCTGTCATCTAAACCTCAAAAGTTTGACTTCATAAAGTTTTTATCTACATCCTGTTTGGTGTTTTTGGGTCTTTTCTGTCTCTGCCAGACCACAGACAGTCGTCTCTCCTCCCACTGAGTCAGTCTGAGTGTTAAAGTTTTCTCCCACCTGTCATGCTGACGTTAACGGCGTCGCTGCGTTCGCCTGCTGCAGATTCACACCAGTAAACTCCAGAGTCGAGTCATACAAGCTCAAATAAGATGCACTCAGTTTCAGCAATGTGGGTCGAATAAGAGGGACAGAATTCATTTATTTGTTTGATGTATTTCGTCTGGACTCTAAACTCAGATGAGTTTCCCTCACAGCTCAGAGTCACAGACTCATACTGGAAGAACTGGGATCTGCTGGGAGAGAGTCTCAGGCAAATGCAAAGATGAGAAAATGATCTTCAGAATCTGTTTATGGTTTATTTAAATCACAGATTAACGTTAATCCCATTTAAATGATTGATCAGTTGAGGTTATTTAGTTAAGACAGAATCACATTTACTTGTTTTCTCAGCTGCGTTGCTGTGAGCAACTAGAGAAGTTGATGCAAATCAGAGTCGGTTACTGTTGCTCATCATAAATAATCGATCCGACCTGATAAATCTATAGCGATCAATGAGCAGGAAATGATCTGATCTGGAGGAGCAGTAAAACTTTCCCCCACAATAAAGTAATTATTGAGCAGAACATGATTTTTATGAAAAACATTCTAGTTTGTTGTATTTTAGTGACGGTGAGGTTAGATCTGACTTGAGAGAAATGTTTTACTAAAGTTTCTTCTGGATTAAAAAAGAAAAAAATAAATCTAAACCTGAAAAGTGAATAAGAATCAATAAAACAGAAGATGGTTCAGAAATAAACCATATTTAAAGAGTCTGTAAAGTGAATTAAAGCAGATTTTGACTCACCAGCGACGGCACAGAGAGCTGTTATCTCCATCCTGAGCTGCTGAACCGACAGACAGACGTTTGTTCATCTCGTCTCTGGTTTTGTGTCAAACGAACCGCAGCTTCCTGCCAGAAAGATCAAAGGTCTGAAACTCAGTGTGGGTCAAACACTTCGGCCCTCTGGACTCTGCAGGAATCAGTGGAAAGTCATCATCACTCTAACCGCTGGTGCAGTTTGCAGCTGCAGGAAATATCAGATGAAAATTAAAGGAGCATTCCCAAACTTCACTCCATAAAGATCCAAAATGGCGTCTCTCAACTCTATATGATGCTCCATCAGATAAAGACACTTGTTGCTTCACACTGATACAGAAACAGCAGAGTTTGTCCTCAACATTAAACCAGCATTATATGCTTACTGGTGTTACTGCGCCCTCTGGTGGAAAAAAGCAATCACAACAACAAATTGCTTCTAAACAATTTCTGATTATTAGCAAACTGTGTTTTGATGAAAGATAAAAAAAAAGACACTTTTGATATTGAAATTTAGAAATTCTGATGTATTTTTTATTGTAAATGATTTGGCTTCTTCTTCTTGTTTTTGGATATGAATGTTTTTTTTGTTTTTTAGGTGTTGAACCTCGTTGGATCAGAACCAGCACTGTTCAGGAAAAGTAGCCTGAGCGTCTCCTGATGAAAACTGGAGACAGAGAGAGAAGAGAACAAAGCACAGAAACATTTTCATCTTAAAACATTTGTGCTTTCAGTTTTGTTTTTCATGATTTAGTTTGAAACAAGGTGTGGTTTGTGCATGTTGAAACAGGACACAAAGGGGGAGTATAAGCTCTGTTCTTCTGGCTCAGTTCCCAGACGCAATAACGAATGTGTTGTGACTAATCCTGCATCACACTAAGATCCAAAAGCCCCAAATCCCAGATAGTGCTCAGGAGGAAGTGTTCAACTCACTCAAAATAAAAAACACTCTCTGAGAGTTTTCTGGTTTCTAAAAGGAGCGTTTTCTTTACTTATTAAAATAACATAAATATTCTCTGAGTTGACTTCATGCAAAGTTAAAATATAAACATTAATTTAGTTTTGAAAAACGGTTTCACTCCTTCACCAAACGGGAAGCTGAGAAGAGCAAAGACGAGCGATTCTGGATTTAACTCTGATTTTAAATCTTCTGATGCTTCAGTTTACAATCAGAAGCTTTAATTTAGGAGTTTTCAGTGAAATGAAGATCCAAATGGCTTCAGTGGAGATGCTGAGAATGGAAATGATTTATATTCACTGATGGTGACAATCTGCTGACATAACATATATTTAGATCTAATCTGCAGCATCTAGAAGCAGATTGTCTACAGAGAGACCTATAGGTCTGATGCAAAACTGAACATTACTCTGAAGATGTCTTTCCTCCTTTAGTTCAGTTTTTTCAAAATGACACAAACTTCCTGTTTTATTACTGGAAGATAATAAAGCAGAACCTGGACTAATGCCAGAACCAGCATTGAAAGGTACCAGCATGTCATGACCTGTTTTAGGAACAAGTTTCCCTCATGCAGATCAGGACAAGCAGAGATAAAACAGCTGCTCAAACATTTCACAGACATTTCCATTATGATGTTTTAACTGAACATTGTTCCGTGTTTTTTCCAGATTAAAATAGCATTACAGCTTTTATAGTTATTTTGACAAACTTCTTCAAACACCATTTATTCCCATAATAAGCACAAACTCACAATCAGAACTCCACAAATTTGCTCAAAATATTTGATCATCTTAATACCACATTGTATAAACACTTTCCTACAACAAATATTACAAAAATCACTTATTTCTTAGACAAGCCTGGTATCAGAACTATAAATGTTCTGCTGATCTTCCTGCTGTTACATCATTAAATATGAAGAAATGAAAGTCGACCATTAGGAGCAGAAATCGTCTCTATTCAGCTTCTCTGCAGTTTCTGCAGTAAAGTTAACATTACATCTCTCAGGACAGAGGTCTCACTCTGTCTGATTCTGAAGGATTTATTGCTGATGGAGATTCAGCAGAAAATAATCGTCCTCTAAAACCTTTACATGGTTTCTGGATGTTGTTCATTGTCCACTAAACTCCACTGAAGGTTTATCAATTCTGAGTCACTGTGTTTAATTTCTGCCATCTGGTCTTTAATCATGTTCACCTTTGACCTTTGTGTGGTTCATATCTGCAGGTTTATCACTGCGTAAAATTCACTTTGACTGAAAATGTCTAGAATTGTGTAAAATATAAATTTTACCAAACTTATTGATCAATGTGGAAGAAATCTGTCAATAGTTATAAGCATATTGAATGATGTGATGTTTATATGAATTGTTCACAAAGTCAGTTTGAGATTGTTCAGTAGGTTTTCTGTTAAGACACATTGGTAAAGGTGGAGCTTGTTTTGAACTCAGAGTGGTTTTGTAATTTATGATGCATGTTGGAACCTGCTGAGGCTGGAAAGAGAGAAATGAGACACAACAGACACAAGAGCCTGAGAAACACCTGGATTCTCCTGGACTGCAGACGTGGATCAGGAACGCGGTTGGATTTTATGTTGTGACGGATCTGAGTAAGTTTATCATATTTATTTCCAGTTTTTAATATTCTATGTAACATGACAGAATATTAAAGTTATTGCAGGTTAAGGAACCAAAGGGAAGCATTTTATATCAGAAAGTGTTTATGTTTTGTTTGTAATAAATATGTGAAATTAATCTAGATGTTTCTGGGTTATAGATTAAAAATATAATCCTCTATTTCCATATTTTTTTTAAATCTATAATATCTATATTGACTATTTACTGTTATTAATAAAATCTCTTAAAGTAGCTTCTTTCTAGACTTTGTTTCATTTTTTTGAGTTACAGTTGTTCCTTGTATTGATGTTCTGCTGCTTCTCCTCTCTTCCTCTCTCAGGATGAAGATGATGTCCAGCATCCTGCTGCTCCTCATCCTCAGCTCATGTCTCTGTGGTCAGTCTCCATCTTGTCTTTGTGACAGAAAGCTCTCTAGATGGAGCTGAAAGACTCCCATGTTCCAGTTCTCAGTGTGTCTGCTCCTCTCTTTCCCTCTCTGTCTCCTCAGCAGCAACATTTGTAGTGAATGTGACACAGAGCAGCTATCAGGCAGAGGAGAAGCAGAACATCACTCTGGAGTGGACCTTCACCACCAAGACTCAGGGAACCTGGAAGAATCTGTTCATCTACTGTGAAGCGAACACGGATCATGGAGTCTTAGTTCTCTATCAGGTTCATGAAGGAGTTGAGATTCCAGAGTCTCAGGATGATCAGTTTTCAGGACGAGTCCAGAGCGACAAAGACGTCCTCAGAGAAGGACGAATCAGACTCCATGTGTCCAGACTGAGGACTGAAGACTCTGGTCTGTATCTGTGTGACGTGAAAACTGGAGATGGATCCAACTCTGGAAGATGTCGACTCAACGTTTCTGGTGATAAGAAATATTTTACTCTGATAAAATCCTGAGTTGTTGAATTTCTTCATCTTCTCCATGAATCCTCCTGGATCTCAGTTTCCATCAAAAATTAATAAATATTTCCGATTTCTCTCCCAGCAGCTGCTGATCAGATCCAAACTCAGAGACCAAGATTGACTCCAGAACCAGAGAGACGAGGAAGGAACATCATCTTCATCATCATCATCACTGTGGGACTGACAGCACCAGCTCTGATGATTCTAATAATGTTGATTAATTTGTTTTGGAAGAAAAGAAAGAATAATTTAACAAGTGTAGATGAAGAAAACAATCCAGATATAAAGTTGTTCATGATAGTTTAGTTTAAAACTAATTTTTCCAGCACAGAAATATCAGATTTATTTCCATTTATTCTGATCAACATGTTGGATCATCAATGAAAGTTTGTAATAATGACGACTTTCATGTATTGTTGTTGTTTTAGAAATTTTAAATAATTTCTAAAGGTTTCTGGACTCAGTAAGAATTATTGACCAATTATTATGTCTGATAACTGATCAATAATTAAGACTGAACCATTGATCAGATATTGGTTCATTGATCATCAGTCATTTTGGGGTTTTTCACATCATCACTGGGATCAAAGTGATGATTTTGTTACGTTTACATAATGTTTTTTTAAAAAAATCTTCCTATTGTTGAATTATGCAGATATTAAATGTTTATTTTCACAGATATTTTTAATAAATACTTTTATAAATATGTTATGAAATGAAACATCTACAGATTTTGAAGAGTTTGTTATAAAAATAAACTTTTCCCTATTTTTAGGTGAAATCAAAAAATTAATTTCAAAAGGGACATTTTTATACGTTAAATTTATTTTAGAAATCAACACAAAACATTGACATAAAAGTGTTTTGGTTTCCTTTAACATGAATCTTTACCATCAGTATTATTTTGTTGTTTCTTTGTTGAAACGTAAATATGAAAGTTTGCATTTCATTACAAAACCATTACATTTTCAACAAGTTGAAAGTTTTTTATTTAAACTTAATGTTTTAACTCAAAGTGTCTCAATAGTTTTCATATTTGATCAAATGTATTTTTGTGACTCTTGTGTTTTTATATCATGTAATGTGTGATTATGTTACTGTGAGCTGCTGAACTGAAAGTATTTTATTGTAAATATTGTAAAATGAAGAAGCTGAAGTTTAATAAATATAACTAATGAGATTTAAAGAAGATTTATTAGTACAATAAAATAATAACATGTCTGTGTTGTTGTTCTGCTGCAGGAAGAAAAATCTAATAAATCCTCTGTGTTGTGATAGAAACTCTCTGGTCTTTATGTGAGCCACTTTCTGCAGATGAAAAATCATTTATTAAAGTTATTTAAGCTCATTTTAACAATAGAAAATGAAAACATTTTAGAAAATTACTTTAACTCAATGGTTTTTACAAACTGCAGAAACATAAATGGTTTTGGTTAAAAATGTTCAGCAGTAAGAAACACAGTGAAAAGTGAAAAAAGCTTTAATTGTATTTTACTGTAAATAAAATGTATTAAAAGTATAAAATCTGAGTTTTCTCATTATTCTCATTATTAACAAACTAATTAAAAGTCTTTGATCTGATGACAGTGAAGGTGTTTTTATCTGCAACATGTTTCATGAAGCTCCCTTTTCTTACTGTATTAGGAAATGTATTTTAATTATTAAGAACATTTTCAACAAGGCAATTCAAAATGCTTCACATGAATTAGAAGAAAAACTAGAAAACAACAAACTAAAGGAAAGAGCAAAAGCAGAAAAATAATCTAATAATGTTGATCTAAAAGTATAAAAACTAAAAAACTTCTGTTCTAAGAGTTTTTTAGTTAAATAAACTTAAATAGTTTATTTAATCTAGAGCTTAAATAAACTATTAGTCTCTTTAAGCTAATAGTTCAGAGGTTTTCCTTCAGAATAAAAGCTGAACTTCAGATTCTCCAACAGAAATAATTTTATTTTCTTGTGTCGCTTTAAGAAACTCTCAATGCTGTAGAACTCCTGCGCTTCCATTAGCAGCCAGCAGGGGGCGCTGTGAGTATAAAACGAGGCTCCTTCTCCTGCCTCTTCCTGCTCTGACTTGGTGACACTTCAGATGAGTTTTGTTTGTTTGGTCAACAATATTTTATTATCTATTTTATTTAACCAGGTGAACCTGCTGAGATCTAGATCTCATTTTCTAGAGGAACCTGAGCAGAAATCTGCAACTCACAGCAACCTGGAGACAAAGTCAAACTAATTCATACATAGACTTAGACTTCCTTTATTGTCATTGTACAAAAAAAACACAAGGTGAATCTTGACAACAAAATGTTGTTACTTGGCTACCAGTGTAACAGAGCTAAAATTTATACTACACAATAAATAAATAATAGCTAAATAAATATATAAGAGCTAAGAATAAAGTGCCATAGAATACACAGGTTCAGTGTTATAAACAAAACTAAACTAAAGTGCATGTATTGACCATGTCCTTGGGGGGGTGATTTGGTGTGTGTGTGTGTGTGTGTGTGTTGTGTGTGTGTGGTGTGTGTGTGGGTGTGTGTGCGTGTGTGTGTGTGTGTGTGTGTGTGTGTGTGTGTGTGTGTGTGTGTGTGTGTGTGTGTGTGGAGGGGTGTTATGTGGCGTTAAGCAGTCTGATGGCCCGGGGGAAGAAACTGTTCAGTAGTCTGGTTGTTCTGCACAAGATGCTGCAGAACCTTCTTCCAGACGCCAGGGGGGAAACAGTCCATGGTTGGGGTGTGTGGGGTCGGAGAGGATCTGGTGAGCGCGAGATAGGCAGCGCCTCTCTGCGATGTCCTTGATGCAGGGGAGCAGAGCCCCCGTGATCTTCTCCCCTGTCCTCACCACCCTCTGTAGAGACTTCCAGTCAGAGGCCCTGCAGCTCCCAGACCAGATGGAGATGTAGCTGGTCAGTTGGCTCTCGATGGTCCCTCTGTAGAAGGTCTGAAGGATGGGGGGCGGGAGGGATGCTCTCTTCATCCGACGCAGGAAGTGCATGCGCTGCTGGCCCTTCTTCACCAGTGAGGAGATGTGGGGAGACCAGCGAGGTTGTCGTTGATGTGCACCCCCAGGAACTTGGTGCTGCTGAAGACCTCCACTGCTGAGTCGTTGATGAGGAGTGGTGTGTGGGTGGGTCTGGATTTCCTGAAGTCTACGATGATCTCCTTGGTCTTGTTGACATTCAGGATCAGGTTTTCCTCTGCACCAGTCCACCAGATGCCGCACCTCCTCCATATAGGCCGTCTCGTTGTTGTCCCGGATGAGGCCCACCACTGTGGCATCGTCCGCGTACTTCAGGATGTGGTTGGATCTGAAGTGTGGACGGCAGTCGTGGGTCATCAGGGTGAACAGCAGGGGGCTCAGGACACAGCCCTGAGGCCCCCCTGAGGAGAAGCAGAACATCACTCTGGAGTGGACCTTCACCACCAAGACTCAGGGAACCTGGAAGAATCTGTTCATCTACTGTGAAGCGAACACGGATCATGGAGTCTTAGTTCTCTATCAGGTTCATGATGGAGTTGAGATTCCAGAGTCTCAGGATGATCAGTTTTCAGGACGAGTCCAGAGTGACAAAGACGTCCTCAGAGAAGGACGAATCAGACTCCATGTGTCCAGACTGAGGACTGAAGACTCTGGTCTGTATCTGTGTGACGTGAAAACTGGAGATGGATTCAACTCTGGAAGATGTCGACTCAGCGTTTCTGGTGATAAGAAATATTTTACTCTGATAAAATTCTGAGTTGTTGAATTTCTTCATCTTCTCCATGAATCCTCCTGGATCTCAGTTTCCATCAAATATTAATAAATATTTCTGATTTCTCTCCCAGCAGCTGCTGATCAGATCCAAACTCAGAGACCAAGATTGACTCCAGAACCAGAAGAACAAGAATGGATGAACATCATCTTCATCATCATCATCATCACAGTGGGACTGACAGCAGTAGCATCTGTTGCTCTGTTGCTTATAATTATAAAATTGTTTTTCTGTGTCAGGGAAAAACAGAAAGATAAACAAAAAAATAAAAAAATCATTCAACAATTTTAATTGTAACTATAATACAGGTGAAAGTTTTGTTTGTTTGAGTTTGGATGATAATAATTTTGCCACTACAGGAGCACCAGGTTAGATTGAAGAAATTTAATGGCTATTATGTTACATTGTGATGAATTAATCAATTATAATAAAAATGATCTGTTTATTGTTATTAAATTATTAAATCATTTCCAAAAACTTTCTGACTCAATCAGACGTATTGATCAGTGTTTGTGTTTAAGTGATGAAACACTTAATAAAAATAACACTGTATTATTGTTACTAATAAAGTGATTCAATTTATTATAATTTTTTTTATCAATATGTTAGAAAGACAAAACAGAATGAAACCTTTGGTTGTTATATTTCACTGTTTTCAAATGATGATTTTTATAAATTTAATACATTTAAACAATAAACTTTAAACATTAAAGTTGTTTTTAACAGATTTTCACCATCATTGTTTGTTTTAATAGAAGGTTTTATGAATATAAATGTTTAAGTTTCATTTCAGAAACTTTAATTCTTCAACATGTCTAAAGTTTTCTCAATGTTTCAACTCAAAGATTCTTGAGTTTTATTTCTCATAACATGTTTTATTGTAGTTTTCTGTTGTTTTTATCAGTGATCAGAAACTGAAGCTTTTATTAAAACCTGATTCTTTTTCTACCAGCTGTGTCTTCATCTTGTTCTCCTGAATGAATGAATGAATGAATGAATGAATGAATCTCTGTTTGCTTGTTTCCTCTTTAATGTCTCATTATGACTCAATTTGCTCTTTATTTGGTTTTGGATCAGGAAGCAGGAGCTGCTGGTCCATCCTGAAGCTTAGCTGCTGAACTCTGACTGGACCTGACCTCTGACCGGACCTGAACTCTGACTGGACCTGATCTCTGACCGGACCTGAACTCTGATTGGACCTGAACTCTGACCGGACCTGAACTCTGACCAGCTCAGCATCCTATATTGATCAGATCAGGAGTTTCTCTGCCTGCTGAGGATTTGATGGTCCTGATGCTGCAGACGCTGTGAGAGCAGCAAAGGCTGAACATCACAGTCCTTCAGAGCCAGAAGTCGACCTGAAACCAGCCAATGAAACTCATCTTTCTCTCATAAACACAGAAACATCGCTTTACTTTCACAGGTTAATAAAATCAGAGAAGGAGCCAAAGTTTAAAGAAGGATCTGGATTTACTAAATACTTAAATGTTTATGAAATTTCTCAGTTTCAATTTCAGGAACTTTAATCTCATATTGAATGAAACATTTTGTTTTTCTGTAATTTACTTTCATGTTATAATTCATATAAATTAGCAAAAAACTTTGGATTGGATTAAAAAAAAAGCTTCAAATGTGTCCAAAGTCTTTATTATATTCATATTTCTTAAAAGATGAAAAACACATTTTAGATTTCAAAGCTTCATGACAAATTCAAAGAAATATTCCCAAATTGATGATTTCCTTCATGTTTTTCTGTAACTTTAATGTCAGTAAATCAATAAACTGATTGCAAATGTCTGTCTGTGTGAACATGTGGAGTTTAAAGGTTAATTTCTACATACAGTCTGCAGAAATCTCAGAGCAGCTGGAAAATATTTTAGTTTCTAAGTTTTGAAACAAAATGTTGAGAGATTAAGAACTAAAATACATTTAAATATTTGCTCATATTTTTCTCACTTAGGAGAAAATGAAATATTAATAATGAGTAATTAGTGTTTTAACTCTGGTGGTTATGATGCATCTGAGAGTCTGTTGGATTGTAAAGACTCTGATATTATTATTATAAAGCTTTTGTGTTGATGCTCAGAAACAAACAGCAAATTAATCATTTTAATTAATAAGTTTTATAAAGTAACAAAAATTAAACACAAAAATTGATCAGCTGATCGACGTCCAGATATTGATCATTTCTGAAGCAGCAGCTCCTCTTCATCACTTTCTATAAATAAACTCATTTGGCCTTAATGTGGGTTTTACCGTTTTGTTTTTGTCCAGCATTTTGTTATATAATCAATAAAACAAACAATTATCATAAATGTTAGAAGATAAAACTTAACGGTGAATATTAATGATGGACAAACTAACTCTAAATTATAAACAAACATGTAATAAACTTACTGTTAGTTTTCTTCTTTATCAGCCTCACATTTTGTTGCTTTGTCAGCCTTTGTGTCCAGGTCTCTGAACATTGATACTGATGCTAATATAAGATGTTCAATAGTCTAGTTCTACTGCAGATCAGATCTAGACTAACAGACTGACAAACTGTTTCAGTTATGCTGTTTATTTCATGCTCTTCTAATTTGAGGCTGTCGAGGGATCAAACTTCTATTTACGTTAAGAGTTTCTCCTCCTCTTTGTCCTCCTGCCAGACATTCATTACATTCTCCCTCCTCGTGTTGCAGAGCATAAACTGGACTCGTCCTGAAGAAGGCTATTTTCCATTCCTGCTTCTATAGACTCAATGAAAGGAGTTCCAGTAGGAGGA